ACCAATCTAGAGCCTACCATGCTGAGCATCTGCAGAATGGGAAAGTGCTCACCCGCCTCCGGAAGGCCAGGGTCACTTTGAGTACTGGTGGTAGTTGAACGAGTCCGTATCCCAGCTTCGTCGCAATCATCACCTCCGGTCGTCGTACTTATTGCGATTTGCGTTGTGGTGGGTACGCGGCACAGACCGCTTGCGTCGCCGTGATCCTTCTGATGATGTGAATCAAGATGAAGAGGGGCGAATGTTCTTGGGAGTGCGCCGATGGATCCTGCACGCTCCCTTGAACCTCCCAGCGAGGAGACGGATGGTTGTCTCTGAGGATCGCGTGCCGAGCCGATTCTCGCTGCCTGTAGATCCGACACAGCAGCTAGAGGTGTTTCGGAGCTCATTGATCTATTAGAGCCGAGCAATGGGCTAGCGGCTAGACTCGAGATCGTGCTTGCTCCAGCGATGCCTGCACGCGATGGGGACGTTGGATTTAAGCGAGGCGAGGGTGGTAGACTGGGAAACTGCGATGCAGCATCATGAGAGGGGGGCGCATGCATGTCTGTAGGCTCCATGGCATCGCTATGGGAGCCGCGACCTTGTGTCTTCATCCGATGGTCTAGACCAAACGCTGTGGGCGCACTGTTGAAGTCGGGCGGCGTCGTGCGAGCATGATCTTGATTGAGCAGTATGAGCTCTGCCTCTTCCCTCCTCCTTTGAGAGTCATTCGAGTCCGCGTTGATGAGCTGAGACATGACGGCAACCTGATGTATGATGCGGTATTAACAACCGCCAACCAAGGTGCATACACGCGCAGCAGAGATCACGACTGGCTGTTCTTGCCCACAGAGCTGTGCCTCCTTTGTTAGCGTTGTAGGCTCACAGAGAGGTGAGGCATAACGCTGAACACATCTGAGGCCGTCCAGACAAGACAACGTTGCAGAGTGAGGCAGGATAGAGAGACGACTAGTTGATGGGTAATCGCGAGCTCCGACCGAAAAAGGCGCGGAAGGTCGTTGGGTACTCCAATGTCCCTTCAAAGGGATTGAGCCCGCTGCTGTGTGGTTGAGTAAGGATACGCCTAGGGTGGTGGCCTGACAATCACGACTGGCTTGGGTTCACGACGCCAAATTCGAGTAAGAACCTGGTATGGGATCGCAGGCGCAGTCACCAGGCTGAGTGGGGTCCGGTCACGCCGCTCGTCTCGAGTCGTGAGTAGTGTTGTGAGGGGGCTGTGCCTGTTGCCTCACAATTTGAATTCGTGATTGCTGCTAGGCGTGCTGCACTTTATAAGGCGCTTTTGGTTATCATCGCAGTCACGGGTCTGCTTTGGCTTCACGCATGCATGCAGCATGCATGCATATCGCCTCACGCAGTTCCGGGCCGCACTCACATCAGCAGCAGCAGGGGTCAAAGTACCTAATCGTGAGATCACGTGTCTGTGTGCCAAAGTGCTTCAAACAAAACGCGCGATTAAAAATTTAAGAAAGCACACAAAGTCCATCATCAGAGCGAATCTTGAATATGCAAGACGCCTCCAGAGCACTCTTGGATCACAGCTCACGCCATCTCTCCAAGGTAGCTTTAACCAGGGAGTCTCCGAATTCCTTGCTTTTGAACCTTCGTCCGCAGATTGTCAAGCAAATCTTCTTTTGTCAGGCTTTTCGGTGTCAAGCGAGCAAGGAGAGCACTAAAGACACCACCAGCATTCATCTTGGTCCTCCAAGGTGACAAGCGCTTTGCAGGCCATCAAATTCTTCCGCCGACCAAGAAGCTTCTCAAAACTTCACATACGAATCTTCACACTCACCTCAGAGATACAGCAGAGAGACTTTGTGCTATATCACAAGGGGATGGTCAAGGAAGAGGCCTCTGAGCAGGTCGTCAAGGTCCAGGGCGTGGAGGAAAACCTGAAGCGTGAGGCGTCAAGCTCTCCTCCGTCAGGCAGCGCAAGACTCGAGCCGCTATCCGAGCCTGCTGCATCTTCAAAGCGCTTGAAGACGGAACAAGAGGTGCCATACACCGGTGGCAGTACAGCACTCAGCGCAAGACACGAACCGCTCCCCGAGGATTCCGCATCGGAAAAGCCCTTGAAGACGGAGCGAGACGTACCGAACACAAGTGGCAGCACAGCGCTATCCATGAGCATTCCGAGCCGAACGGACGAGGGCAGAGCGGCTCGAGAAGCCGACGTCGGCATCGTGCAATATGTGAGCCCTGACTTAGTAGGGCTTGAGGGCGGTGTGATCAAGCAGCGGTGAGATGAGATAATCTAGGAAGTCTCCTCTTGATCCATGGCTCACGTACTCACGCAAGGTGCTCCCGTAGCTTTTCGGATTTCCAGGTCTTCGAGATCGAACCTGGAGGCAAAGTCTGCCGGATCGTCTCCCTAGATCCACCCACAGCAGAGCAGGGCGGCGATGGTCTCTACGAGGAATTAGAAATAGAGCGCGCAGAAGCAGCAGACTCAAGTGGTACCTTGCGTCAAGAGCGCATACAGCGCCAGAACGCAGAGTGCGAAGAGCGTAAGGCCGCTGCGGAAGCTGCCAAGCAGCGTGAAGCTGAGCGTACTTGGGTGTGGGTTGAGACGGTCGACGAGAACGCGCAAAGCGAGCTTGTCGCAGTGTTGGGCCAGGAAGCAGTAGACTCTCTGAAAGAGCTGTGGGAAAAAGGACCACCGCCTCGCAGCTCTGCTTCGTCTTGGCGCGGAGGGGGCAGGGGCCGAGGACGAGGTCGCGGAGGAAGGGGAGGTGGTCGTGACACGGAGGCGCGAGACGCCGCGAGCTCTGGCCCATTCGTCCTCTCAGATGTGAGATGACGGACCGATGGCATGGCATCTGTTGCGGCGAGCTCACAGTTTCTAACTACATTCACAGCCGTTGGCATCAAAGGAGCAACGCACAGCAGCACATCAGCTGGTCAGGAGCGTCTTCGAAGGATCGCTGCAGAGCGAGGCGCTAGAAGCCCATCGAAACCCCAACACTGTCCAGAGCAAAGACGGGCCACCTGACGACGATGCAATCGCAAACGGTGAAGCGCCCAAGCCACCCGAAGGGCTCCCTATCCGCATCACCTGGGGCGATACGAGACAGCGTAGTCAGCGCGAGAATGGTCAAGACAAAGGACGAGACAAGAAAGGTGCGTCGATATGCACGATGCAAGACGAGGCACTCTTCCTGCTGAGACCGTGACCGTTGTGCCTCCGTCAGATGCAAAATTGCTACCGCCGTACGTCCACTTCCTCATGCAGAAGTCCAACCGAGACTCTCATGATGCCCTTGCCATCCTTGGGCGCGCTCTGAATCTAGGTGGCTACGGCTCACTCCATGGCAAAGCGCTCGGCGACTTAGCTATTGCTGGCACAAAGGACAAACGTGCTACCACAGTCCAACGGGTCTCTTACAAAAGAGGACGTCGCACGCTCGATGAAGTGTACAAACTCGTCAATGGGGTCGGCAAAGAACGCGACGATCCATATGGGTCAAGAGGCGGGCGGGGCGGCTCGCAGCGCGGTGGAAGAGGTCGAGGGGGTGCTCAAAGAGGCTACGGCACTCGAAAGACGCTACTCGATGCGGTCACGCAGCGTGCTGACCGCGCGGTGCGAATAGCACATCTTCAGTACGCCGACGCTCCGCTTCACCTCGGCGAGCTGGAAGGCAACGCGTTCGTTGTAACCTTACGAAACGTCAAGGTCAAGGACGAGAGCATGATTGGAAAGAGCGTGGACATACTGTCCACAAAAGGCTTCATCAACTATTTTGGTGCGTTCAGTGTGACCGTTGCGCTCACAATTGAGAGCGAGGACTGAGCGGTGTGCCATTTTGCATCAGGCCTTCAACGATTCGGATCTGGAAGCATTTCCAGCCATCACACAGGAATCGAGCTTTTCAAGGGTAACTATCAAGCAGCCGCCGATGGAATCTTGGCCTCGCGCCCTGGCGATTCCCCGGAAGAGAGCAAGGCACGCCAGGCGTACTCGGAAGGCTATATTTCAGAAGCCTACGACATGCTACCTCGCTACAACGTCCCCGAGCGAGCCATCTTAGAACGCATGAGAAAAGACCTTGATGCTGACGGGAAACCAAAAAACGATTGGAAAGGCTATTTTCTCGCTGTGAGTCGGCGATTCTGAGCGTGATGTTGCCTTGTTGTGAAGCTAAAGCCACGAGAAGCCGCGTCTCACAGATTCCCAAGAGCTTACGGATCATGTACGTGCATGCGTATCAATCCTACGTTTGGAATCGCATCGCCTCTCAACGCGTAGCCCGTTACGGACTCGACAAACCTATCGTTGGAGACACTGTCGCCCTGGGAGAGGATGCCGTTCTCGATGTGGACGATGATCAGCAAGACGGTTCTGCTTCCCACACGGATCAAGCTGACCAGGAAGCTGGTGCCGGTGACGATTCTAAGCCTGGTACGTCCAGGCTCTTGCTGAATGCTGCGTGTGCAAAGTCATGTCTTTGATAGCTGATGGCAGACATTTGTTTCTTAGCTTCGAAGCGCTGGGCTTCGCAGCTGCCTGTGAAGGTTTTGCAAGCCGGCGACTTGGATCATTACAGCATCAACGATGTGGTCATTGGGCTGCCAGGCATAGACGTCTCTTATCCAGCTGGCTGGATGGCGGATTTGTACAAGGAGGTGCTCGCCGAGGATGGCTTGACAGAAGATCATCTCCTCACTTTCAGGTGTGTTTTGCAAGCTTTCTCAATGTCTGTGCACAAACTCACACCACGCGCCTTACCTGTGCCTTGCAGCGACTTCAAGCTAGGCGGCGCGTATCGAAAGCTCCTGCAGAGACCTAAAGACGTATCATGGAGCCTGATCAAGTACACCGACACCAACCTCAATCTAGCGCAGTCCGACGAGGACAAGCTACTGGGAATAGACAACCCTCCTGAACCTGATCCCGAAGCACCATTCGCTGCTTTGCAAGTGCGACTCTCCTTGCCCACAAGCTGCTACTGCACCATGGCACTCCGAGAGATCCTCAAGAGCGACACTTCCACGGCGACGCAGAGAGAACTCACACACCGAGGTGAAGACAATTCGTCTATGTACAAAGGGACCAATCGTCACAACCGAGACGCTGTAAATAAGGTCAACGGATCACGTCAAAGAGCGTGGGGCGCGCCCAACACAGGAGATACAGCAAATGCCACCACTGGAGATTTGGCCGACGCAGCCAAGGACTCGGAAGAGGGCGTCGAAGTGAAGGCAACGGTATCCGATGCCTTCAAGAAGGAGATGGCTCGCCTTCGCGAGCAACACAAAAATGCGCCCGCTCAGCAAGAGGAGAACAATGCAGATGACGAGGACGCCGCTCGCAACCGAGCCCCACAAGTATCTCATTGATCTCTTGTCAACTCAGTCGTCGATGCTGAGATCAACATCCGCTCGACATGCTCTGCTCGCATGTACTGAATCCCATCGAGAGTCTGATAATTGCCGGTCACACGAACCCGCAGCAGTCACAATGAGATGTTCCCGATGACTGATCGCGGCGCAAGGCTATCCCATGCTATAGTCACACTCTCTCTCGCTCGACGGCTCCTTGGCGCAGCAAATCGAGCGGTAGTCTTAGTGTGAGCTCTCTGAACTCCTTTGTGCACGTGGTGGTCATGGAATGTGAATGAAGAAATGGAGAAGATACTCTTCAAATCCCATGCGTTGACTTGCCTCACGCGTCGCAATTCACGAGACTTGTATGCGTCATGACTTCGCTCTGCTGCCACCTAGACGGATGCTCAGCGCTGAGCAGCCCCTTTCGCTCATCACTGACTCCAATGAGCTATCAAATTGCCCTCGCGGAAGCTTTTGCACAGGTGTCCCGCCTTTCGTCAAGGCAGAAAAGTCACGCAATCGCGAGCGGTCTGCGCTCAGCTTGCTGCAGCGCATGACGGCAAGACGCGGGCGCGGGGCGCCCACGCGGTGCTCGCGCATGCTGGTGGCGCGCCACGCGAACACGGAAGCAACGGTGCTGTGCCTCGGTGGTAGAATTTGGAGCCGTCAGCGACATTAGTGATTCACAATCACCATCAAGACTTCCAATCCCAGCTTCGCATTTGAGTCTGCAACCTTGGCCTACTTCTGAACCATTAACTTCCGATGATCGCCTGAGAGCGGCGCAAGCGGTAAGTGGAGCACATATGGCTGGAAGCAATCAGGGCCGGTATGAGCTCGCGAGCCTTGGCGGGCGTGACACAGTCCCGTGCGCCGACGGAGCTCCCATGCGCGCTCAGTACATCCGCGAACGCTGCTGCGCCCTGCGATTTTCAGCGTCCAGGCGCTCGACCGGGATTTGGCTGGCTCTTCGTGAGCCAGGACACTAGTAAGCCATCACACGGCTGACATGTACCAGCAATGCTGTCGTCAAGCCTAGGCCAGCCTCCGCAGGGGGCGCCTAGGCACTCCAATCGGATGAAGGCGTCTTCTTGCATGCTCTCCGTCACATTACGACCACGCAACGACAAATGCCATCGCCGCTTGCGGTCAGATCAAGATTGTGTGGCTGGTGCATCGCGGGGGTCGAAGAGGCGGGTCCGACTCCTTGAGCTGTGATGGCACCACCCCTCGTCCCGTTCTCGCCATGGCGCTGAAAGACGTCCGTACGTGAGACATTGATGTGCCGACCACAGACGACGCTGTGCGGACTGACAAGCGGACTCATGCAGACTCGCTGCTACTCTGGACCCTTTTGTAGCTCGGGTGAGGCCAGCATTTCGGAGCATAATTCGAGCCCGGTCTCGGAAGACGCGCGCTCTCAGTCTGCAACCGTTTCACCGAGCCCGCTCAGCCTAGCAGCGCACGTACGTGGAATGAATGAGTGGAGCGGACAGCTTCTTGGCGCATTGCATGGAGATGAGAGAGGCAAGCTTGGATGCACTTGCGAGAACTGACTGAAGCCGGAGAAAGCGCACTAGCAAGCCCGCAAATCCGGATCCGAGACCTCCTTTCTCGAACGGAGTCAGATGTACACCTCGTGCTGCACCATCACTCCACATATCCTGCTCGACACACGGTCAAACATGACTTCCATTGAAAGGTGACGGTGTTGACCGGGCTCGCAGCAGTCTGTGGGACCAAGGGTGATGATCAGAGGTTGCGCGTCAAACAGTACCTTGGCGCCTCATCCCCTTCCGGCATATCCCACACTCTCCACACGCCATACCTTGTCCTCCAGCGCAGAACCAATCGTTGCATCAGCCTCCGTCTAGGGTGGTTGTCGGAGCCGCCTCTCTTCCTCCGTCTTGCCAATGCAACCTCTCCCGATCATTATTGTGGGTTAAGTACCCTGCGAGGGATGGTCAACTCGCTTGGCATACGTGGGATGCCCTCGCAACGGAGACGGCTGTCCTCACTTAAAGGCGGACCTCGACGGGGATGAACCCCTCCCAAAACCTTTCGTGTCCATCTCCTACACCGACCTTCTCTCAATCCCGCGACCTCCCTTTCCGCCCATCTCTTCCAAACTTCGCTTCTCACTTTCACAGCTGATCCGCCAAATCACAGCTGCGTCTGCCTGCCGTGCAGATTGAAAGACACCATTTCCAGGACCGTCTCTTTGACGCATCGACCTGTCATTTCGCACGCCATGGAGCGCACCTCCAAGCCTTCCGCATCTGCGCTCGCTTCCAGAAGAGGCAGTGCTCCATCGCTGAGCAGCATCCACGTGGAGAATAAGAGTCGCGCTGTGGACTTGTATCCTCTGGCTCACGCGCCAATCTCCCCTGCCCTCAAGAGCGCACTCTCCCATTCGTACGCTCCGCCAGCATCGCCGACCATCTCCCGCAGTCCTTCGACCGTCGGAACCTCTCCAAAACGCCTGCAGTACGTTTGCCCGCCGACGCCGATTCTGAGAGGCTACAACGCCTCAAATTGGGGGCTCTTGGCTATTGTCAAGGTCGACTTCAATCTTACCGTTACGGTTCTCCACCACCGCTCGCAGACGCTCTTTGCTTGGCCTTTCAACCTCGACCCGGACGGGACATCCGACTCGGGCAAAGTGTTCATCACCCCTCGCTCTCCTGACGCAGCTGACGCGCCCCAGCCCCATCTGATCAGCGAAAGCCTCAAGCTTGTCGGCGTAGTCCTAGGCAATTGGATGCAGAATCGAAGCCGATTCGATGTTCAGACCCGCATCGCTTCCACTGCACCCGAAGGATCCACCAGCCCATCTAGGGACGAAGATGGCGAAGTCGCTCGCATACGTCGGGATCTCGGCTTGATTCGCCTAACTTGCGAGGAGCGCGCTGCCGCCTTGGCTCGCCAAGAGATACCTTCCTCTGCTTGGCGTCGTCCATCTTGCTGCTCTTGTGCCGAAGCTCCCGACTCTCCTCGCCGGGTTGCTTTTGATGAGAGCCCCAGAAGTCGACCTCGGGAATCAGCCTTGGGTCTACGATTTGATGACGAAGAACCATTGGAGCTCGTCAATTCAAGACGACACTCGATCGAGCCTCACCGCTTGAGGAAGTCTGTCTCCTTTGACGAAAAACGCAACACCACTCTCACTTTTGAAACGCTACCGATGGATAAAGCGACGCCGCTGATGAGGGTCAAGGACGCTCTGAGCTTCCCTTCCACGGCGCCATTCTTCAAGAGAGACATCTCGGACCTCGGCGAAACCTCGACGGACGACTCGCGCCGCTCTGTTCCTGCCTCGCCTGCCAGCCCGTCGTCCGTTTCGCCTTCCCTCTCGGAGTTTTCTTGGTCGCCAAAGCACAGCAGATCCAGCCTTGCTAGCCCAATCAGCAGCATTGGATCTTGCTCGGAGCAGTCGTCAAGCTCTGGGAACTTTGCAGTATCTTCAATGTCGCCCTTGGCACGCCCGCAGTCGCCGACTCATATCGATGATGGTCACGACCTCCTCACCTTTTCAAGAGCATCTCGTCGACTGCCGACCGAGGATGTCGATCTCTGCCTCGTTGCGACACTGCCTTACAAAGCATCCAGCACCAAGTGCGTTCACGCTAAAGCGCTCCTGCGTGAGGAACAGCACATCACGCGCGCACTGCGACATTCGCTCACTCTCTCGAAGATGGCATCTGACAGTAGAGTCGAGAACGCTTCGACTGCAGTCCTGTCTCCCGCGCTGCTGCATTCTGCAGAGCTTGCTAGGTGCAAGGAAATCAGCACCTCACTGGCTGCCTCTCCGATGCCCATCAGTCCCACCCGAGGCAGAACTCTGCAAGCTCGAGCATCGAGCATCGAGCGTATCTCTGCGACCGAGTCCCATCACCAGCCGTGCCTGACATGCGTCATTGCACCCTTTACTACAAGCGCATTCGTGATCCTCTTTCTCCTTGTTCTCCGTCATCAGAAGCATCCCACTCGTCACGCCTAAGATACGTTTTTCTTTCGCACTTGACTCTGGTCCGCCGCGGATTCTTTGCTGCGCCCGTTAGCCCCGAACATCTTATTGGATGCGCAAGTCCTGTAATCGCAAGCTGTAAAGAACGGTCCTCTTCGCTTCGAGAGCAATTACACTTACTTACAAGCAGAATAATGTCAGGTGTCAGGCAGGACTGATGAGGTTGTTTCACGCGTTTCGTGTTCTCCACAAAAAAGCTGCTGCACGCAACGCCGAGCTCACTCGTGACTGCTTTGCACGCGCGCGAGCTTCGCGACGCCGCTCAAACCCCGAGCAGCGCGCGGCCCGTGTCGGTAGGTATGGGACTCGTTCAGCAATTCACACACCTCTCTCTGCCTGTCCACCTTTCTCCATCACGTCTTCGCGAGTCCGGATTGCAAGGCAAAAGAGCAGCCCTCGTTTTGGTATTCCGAGCCAGTCACCTCGTCTCGACCACCGTTGCGCAAGCTGCCAGAAGGGCCAAGCAATTCTTACCAGCAGCGGCCGAAGTACGCTTCCAACCAGCGTCGGTTGCCCTTCACCAACCCCACTTGGCGCGAAGTCGACTTCGGAGGCTCCATCCTCGTCTGAGTTTCTCGGAAGCAGCTTTCCTTCGTACTTCGCACACGGCAAACCACGAGCTTGGCAGCCCCCCAAGTCGATCCGCTTCAGGCGCCTATCATCTCGCGTCATTTAAAGATCAAGATCTATCGAATCGCTTGACCTCGCCTCGCTCCCTAGGCCGGATATGTCGGCGCCAATCTCAGAGCCGTTTGACCTTTTGCGTCTCTCCTTGGCAGAGCGCGTGCTGATCAAATTGAGAGGAGATCGTGAATTGAGAGGAACGTTGCATGCTTATGATGGACACATGAATCTGATAGTCGGAGACGTGGAGGAGACGGCTTATGTGGTCAACGTGGACGAGAGCGGAGAGCCGGGAGACATCAGTGTGAGTTTGTATGCTGTTATGTATGGGGGAAACTTGTGGGTGAAAGGGGTTTGGATGATTGGGAGTGACTGGAGCAGGACGTGGGGAACAGACAATGGATCGCGCAGGCACAGAAAGCCTACACCAAGGCTTTCAAAGGCCAGAGCATGGCGATGAAACACTTGCGACGCACACTCGTCGTCGATCCTGTGCCGTCCAGGTTCAAGGGAAGGGCACTTCACTAGATACACAGGCCCATCGTGCTGACTTTCCTACATCCCATCCACGCTACGCATACTCAACAGGTCATCAAGAAGCAGAGTGAGATGATGTTCGTGCGAGGAGATGGTGTGATTCTGGTGAGCACCGTGCACGCGGTTGGGGCGCGGCTCGTTCGTTAGAATCACAGACTGACACTCAGAACGATGCCTCTCGACCTTTATGTCACGCCCATGCTGATCAGGTATCGCCTCCTGCAAGATCATGAGCAGGTCGACTCGACTAGGTGGCGCATACGCATTGAACGCCCCAACAAAAGGGCACCAAAGTCGGACGTCCACTCGATCACGCAAGATCAGCATCTTCGTGCCACAGCAACTTCGCTGTGTCTCATCTTTCAGGCCACGTCAGCCTGTCCAGGCTTTCGGACTGCAGTCCAGTCGCGAAGGTTAAAATTGATGAGCTAAATGCGTGTTGAGTCATGTGCTCGAGGAGCTCGCTGGTCATCCTGTATGCGCATGTATCCGCCAGTTGCGCCTGGACCGAATGTCAGCCAATCGTCCCAATGTTGAGTTGAGCTGTGCTCCGCATAGACATGGTTCCAAGTGTGCTTCGGACCGCGAGGCTACTCGTCGCGAGCATCAAAGTTCAACATTCGCCGATAGGGGCTCCTTCAGCTCTTTGGTCTGTTTCAGCAAGGTGACGGCCGCCCTCAGAGGCAGGTCCCAACCTCTCTTGCGCAAGGATCTACGCTCGAGTCACATCTGCTTGCAAACCCGCCCTGCCCGCATCAAAAGTCAAGGCAAGCGAGGAGCCTGTTCGCACGACCAATTTGAGTCTGTGGCCTCCGGAGCGCAAAGCAAGTACTACCGCTCGCTCAGCTCAAGCTGTTGTATGAAGACCGTCGTGGCAGAAACGATTGAGTTTGCCTGAGACATCTACATGAGAGCTTGAGACATGATCTAGTGGTGGGCATCTGCGGAGCTGTGCTTGTCCAGCTTGTAGCCGACGATGTGCCTGCGGCCGATCTGTTCGTGAGAAGGTAAGGGCATGCCCAGGGTTAGATGCTGAGCGGTTTGCACGCGCCAGAACAGGGAATTCGCAATGGCAAAGGACCCCTCTTAATAAAGCCTGATCCTCCCACACCTGTCCTTCCAACACTCACCATCTCTCCAATGGTGAAGAAACCAACCACTTCGATTCCATACACTGCCAACTTTTTCCACTCGCCGGTCCTAATCACTCCGCTCCAGTAAGAGGCGTCGAGTGCTCGCTTGTACAGCGTCTCTGCACCTTGCTTGATGGCTGACGTGGAAGTGGGAGGAGCAAGGGCTTCGGCAATGTACACTTGCTTGAAGAGGGATCCGGCGACTCGAGCGTTGTATGCGATCGATTCCCCAAAAGAGGACAGGTTGACTGGGGCGCAGCGTAGAGTGAGCATCAGGGTCAGCATGCAAGTCGAGGTGAAGGATGCCTTCATGGCCTCTTTCGACCACAATCAGAACTGTCCCGTAGACCTTCGAGCTGCTGCTCTCCAACAGCGAAGAGTGCAGCTCTAGTCTAGCCGCGCTGGTCCACCCATCCTCAAAGCACCGCTCCGACGCTCTACTCACTTCCCGTAGCTCCCTGAATTCTAGCAGCGACAGGTCCCACAGCAGCCGAAGCCTTCGCAGCCGCGCTAGAAAGCTGCTTTGCAGCACCTTCAGCTGCGTTCTTTGCCGAAGAAGCAGCGTCCGCTCTAGGTGTCGATTGCGAAATGTTCCTAGCGCAGTTTTGGGCGACGTGAGATCTTTGGATCGCTACGCTGCGCGCAGATGTGGTGCGAAGAGTCGAGCCGAACATGATTGCTTTGACTCTATGATGTACACTGGACGACCTCGCAATGCTGAGCTGATAGTCGTGGGGACAGACAGTCACGGCCGTGAAGCGTCAACGCGATACTCTGGAAGTCTTTGATCATCACCATCTAGAAGGTCCACACTGGCGCGCGGCCTGCTCCCCATGCAAACATACGAACGACTGCTTTGGCTGCTCTCATCTATGGCCAGCAGCGCCAGTCGCGCACATCGGTCAAGTCCGGAACACGTGGTCAGACTTTGTGCATGTGCAAGGAAGCGCTCTCGTACGGGAAGCGTGTGCCTGACATGCCCACATTCAAGATTCTGATTTTGATTCAAAATTGTTACCATCATGCCCATCGGCGCTGCGAGACCATCCATTCACGTGATTACAACGATCAAGGGGTGAATCGCAATCTTGAATTCAAGATTCAAATTGTGATTGAATCAAGAATCACGAATGGTGGCTCTGACTTGTGAGTGGCGTGGCGTGCACAAGCCTGCCAATCACGAATTGTGATTGTTCAGACGAGATCGTCCACAGAGCACAGCTTTCGTATTGCGATCGAGAGATTCAGCAGCGATGACAATTGAATCACAATCGTGGATCGAGTCTTGCGTGACGTAGTTTGTGTATTCACATTGTGATTGGTTGCAAAGCTCGTCTACGTGACCGCGCTGCCATCAAGCAGCTTGCTCGCTATATAGCTGAGGTATCAATCTTCGAATCACATCAAGGATACGATAGCAAAGCGGCAATGAAGGACTCACATCTCGATCAGCTTAAGAAGTCGCGCGCGCAGACAGACACACACGCCTCACAGTCGTGATGGCGCTTCGCAACTGGAAATCTGGTCTGCAGTCAAAGTGAGCGCGATTCAGACTAGTAAAGGGGTCAAACCGAGGATGGGGCGCGTTGAACCCTGACTCTCAGGTACAGCAGGCACATTTCGAATCAAGCACCGTATTCACCAATGGGGCATGCGGTGGACCAAATTGTGGGGGGCAAAAATCATCGTGCATGCCTTAGCACCCACCCACGAACCTACTCTGAATCTTGGGGTGGGGGTAAGCCGTAGTTCTGCAAGAAAGTCCCGTTTGGGAAACGTGAAAAATTGGCACCAAAGCGCGCGGCGGAATCAAGGTGCGGCGTGAGCGTGCCGTGCACTCACGAGTCACGAGTCACGAGTCACGACTGCTTATAGCAGCAGCAGCAGCAGCAGCAGCAGCATCAGGCAGAGTACGCTCAATCGTGAATCGTGAATCGTGAATCGCAATGTACGGCATACCGGTGATCGCGAATTGCCGTCATGCGCAATATAAGCCGCGGTATCGTTGATGCCCTCGCACGCGGCGTGGTTTTACCGCGATCGACAAATAACGCGACTGGGCCGCCGCGCGCGCCCTCGACATGGGGTTTTGTCAAGGAGCTATCGCCTGCAAGTGCCAAAGTCGGGTCTCAAACTAAAGTCCATGTGAGACGCCTGAGACAAGTTTCTTGAAAGGGCTCGAGTGTTGCATATATTATACCGTACGCGCGCTATTATTTGTGGATATGCTGCATGCAATTCCCCGAAGGACAGCGGAAGCAGCATGCATGCACTTTGACCACGACACGGGTTCGGCTCACAAAGTTGTACCACGTTGACACTCGCGACGCACCTCACCTCACCTCACCTCACCTCACCACGTCCCCAATCTTGGCTTTTGACTCTTCCGCAGCTCTCGCGTACGGTCTGCCCGCTGTCCTGGCCTGAATACCTCATCATTGCTCGGTTTCCTCCTCTTCGTTCCCCCCAACCACCTCTACGTGCGGCGAGTGAAATGAAGGCATCAGGGGGCCTGTCTCCTTGTCAAACCTCACTGCATTCCTGATTTCGCTTCACTCGCAAGTGCTTCGTCGAATCGACGGCTTGTTGTCTCTCTCTCTCGCGAGCGACTCGATCTGGCAGCAAATTTAGAATTGACATTCGTTGGGAAAGGGACGGGACACGCTTCCACACCTCATCACACACAATTCCACCCCTCCCACATCCTTTGCTCTCCGTCTTTACCACCGCACATTCTTCGTCAAGATCAACATGGTCTCTGCTTCGCCCTCTGAGGCGGCCAGCACGATGCTGCACCTATCCACGCTGGGCGTGCAAGCAGTCATCTGGATGATATGGAGCGTCACGCCCCTCTCCTACCTCTACCTCGCAGGCAGCTACGCGGCCTACAAGGGTCAACTTCCATCCTGGATGCCGCCTCACCCCTTTCCTCGCCTGCACTACGGCTACCTCTTTTACGCTCTGTGCGAAGTCGTCTTTAGCTTCTATCACGCTTACCTCGTCACAAAGGTTCAACAACCAGGTCCTCCGCCCAACTTCAGCAAGAAGCTGTTGCGTACGGTGCTCATCCGAGCACTAGAGACAGGCATGGACGATGAGGACGAAGATGAGGACGTGAATGCGGATATATCCGGGACAATATCCAGAGCTGAATCGATGGAGAGGCTGGGTGGATCGGAGTCAAATGCTGCACGCAACGGAATGCGGATGAGACGCAGGGAGAGGACGACATCAGGCTCAAGCGATGTCAAGGCGCTGGGTTCTGGATCCACCTCGCCCATCCCCCTGTCTCAGACTCCATCCCGAGCCCCAAGCCCTATAGCGGGACACAGCCGACTGCGCGCATCGAGCGTCTTGCCCAGCTTTGCAGTGGCTCGACCTTTGGACAAGGACGATGTGCGCGCAAGACGATTTAGGGATGAGCTTGCCATGTGGTTCATCGATGCGCGACCAGAGGATGTGACGGCTAGAGCGGTAGAGAGATGGCTGGCTTGGTCCTTGTACGCAAAAGAATTGGAAGAGGTGGAAGTCGAGGCTGAAAATAGCCGCGTCATACGAGAGCAGCATGCCAGCGCCACTTTGAGAAGAGGACTGCCACGACTCAGTAGCGGCGCGACTGTTGCTGCTGCGGTGGACAATGTTATGCCGCCTACCCCCACCATCTCTCCGCCTCCAAGTCCTCTGCCGCCCAGCCACGAGTCTTTCCCACCCAGCCCGATGCCGGGCAGGGAAGACTTTGGTGAGTCGCGCCGAGCTCATCAGCGAGCAGAGGAGATTGGACGCAAGTTGGACGAGGAGGATCAGACTTCCACCGAAGCGGTCGAGGCTGCTCGGACTGCAGCAGAGTACGCTGCAGGCTGGTCCAAGCCTGGTGCACGGCTAGAGTTCTTGCTTTGGTGCCGGGAAATGTTCGAAGCTAGGCAAGGGTTCGAGTTCCCACGGAGGGCGACGAGCTGGAACGAGTCTGTAGGGGAGGATGAGGAGAGCATCAAGAATGCGCCGCATGCTAGAGCTATGAGGTTGACGATTGATCCGGTACGCGTGCAAAGCAGGCCTCTGGCTTGCTACCTCTTTGCCAATGCCCTGTCCCGCTTCACCGTCATGCGTGCCAAGTCGAACGGTTTCTCGCTAGAGCAAGAGGGCAGACTACGCTACCTCATTCGTCGACCGCCTCGATGGACTCGACAATTGGCAGAGGCGAGGGACGCACGAACGGCAAGCCTGCATAGACCCATCATCTTTCTGCACGGTTTAGGCATCGGTCTAGGCCAATACTCTACGCTCATCAACCAGCTAGCAACTTCGCACTTGGCTAGCCCCCACCCCATCTTGGTTCCGCTATTTCCTGCTACCAGTCAAGATATCTTTGATGACAACTTTTTGAATCCTGTGGGACATCACGAAATGACGGCTACGCTGCGCGTCATCATTCAGAAGGAACACTGGCACAGGTGCGGCATCACCATCTTGAGCCACTCCATGGGAACCATTGTTGGATCTTGGCTCGTGAGTGGACGAAATGAAGCTGGCTGGGTCTAAGAAGCGGCGTGTTGAGCACCCCTTGACGTTTCCTCGACATTTTCCCTCTTCTCTCTTCTGCCTTGCAGGTGAAGAGCCTGGGCGCTTTGGTTCGCAGGATGTGCATCGTCGATCCGGTCTGCTTCAGCCTTTGGGTTCCCGTGGTCATTGGTAACTTTCTCTACAACAAGCCAGACACGCCAGTGCGGCACTTGATGAGATACGTAAGTTATATTCTCCGAATGATCGAAGATGGCATCTTGGCACGAATCACTCGACTGACGTTTGCATCCTCCCGTCTCCCGCATCACTCGCTTGCCAATTTGCCTACAGTTTGTCGGCACGGAGCTCGGGACGGCGCACGCGCTCTCGCGCCATTTCAATTGGGCATCCAACATTCTCTGGCCCAGGGAAGAGATTCAGAATCTCTTGTCACCTCATCATACGCGCATCTATCTCTCGGAGCAGGATGCGATCTTGGATGCCAAAGCCAACAGAAGGTATTTGAGATCGTTTGGCATGAAGGATGCTAGCGAAGGTGGAGGCTTGACCATGGCGAAGGGAGCGGCGCATGGAGAGGTCCTCATGGCGGGAGGAAGACATATGAGGGATATCCTCGCTTGGCTGGACGAGCCCGATGCATAAATCATTCACCATTCGTTTTCGCCCTCAATCATGCCGATGTCTTTGCAGCTTTTTTTGTTGTCTGCCTTGCCTTTCGGTGCTTGTTCATGTACCCGTAGCCTTCGCTGCTCGCGGAACAACTCGGATTTGCTAATGTATGCGTCAAGTTGCCAATGTATGATGGATTGACAAAGCAACGCGATTCAGACTGGTGTCATCTGGACTTGTGCAGGATTCGAGCTGCTGTGGCTTTAAGCCGTGCTTCGACCAAGGCGTCAAGCGTCCATTGTTCATCATCGTCGCTGGCTTTCGACATTCTGACAAGAGGGGCACGCACGAGCGATGCTTTGGGTGTCAGTTGATGATGAAATGATGGGACAAGCGGCAAACACTGCTCACCCAAGAGCAAGCTTGAGATTGGACCATGCATCTCCCAGATCATAAGGTCTTTCTTGCAGCAACGTCGGCAGGACGATCCCTCCCTCTTGTACAGACACGTCCTGCGCATGGATATGATGATCGAGCTGGTCCGCATCGTAGTCATCTGTGCTTTTCGCCTCATCTATCAGCGTCAGAGGAACCCAAAAGTACAAGATGGGACTCAAACGGCGAAGGGCTTCCTCGTCTCTCTCTAGCATGGCACCCGAACGCGGCGCTGCGAGGCTGTCGTCTTCTCTTCCCCACACTCCTGCCGAATTGCCAAAGGAAGTCGTCCGCTTGCGCTCGAGTGAGCGAACATGTCGAAAATAGGCCTTTCTGCGCTCTATATCGATCGTCGTCTGACCTTGCATGAGCGAGGATAGGGAAGAGAAGAGCAAAGCTGGACGAAGCACGGGAGGAAATTTTATCGCGCTTTGAGCATCTCGCCTATCTCTCGCGTTGCAACGCAACGGAGCATGAAAGCGCACCTAGAGCTATAAAGACTAGACCTGCACCGCTCGTCACTACGAGCGGTATTGTCCAATTGGGAATGGCGACAAGTTTGGAATGAGAAGAAGTGATCTGCGCCGACGTGGCTGTGTAAGACCTCGAAGCTGGTCATCATAGTGATGCGCTGGGGTCAACACGATGCTGAAGGGGGTTCGATGTTAGATGCATCATCAAGCGACTCACCGACAATCCAGCCTCCTACCCATCTCCACACAGGTCCGCCCATCCACGTCCATTTGTTGGCCCACCACTCGCGGCTTTGGACGTTGTCGACATCGCATGCCCATATCCAAATGAGGCGCGTGTGCCTCCACGCGACACCGAACATTGGAAAGAGCGCGAAAAGATACAGGACGGGCACGAGGATGAGAAAGTGCAAGAATGAAGGGGAGGTGAGTGGGATTTGAACATCCGCATCAAACTTGCGTGTGTGCGAGCAGGCGTGTGCAGTCAGAGGCTAAGCTGGGGAAAAACGGGTAGGGTAATGGGCAGGCGACAAATCGCATACGCACCCAGGGACAGTGATGATCCAAGCCTGCGCGGCATGTTCCGCAATCTCCGCAATGTCTTGTGCGCGGAGGTTTCCAATTTCCATCGCACGCATCTCTCCAACACCTCGACGGTCTTCCAGCCGCATCGCATTCGAATATCCTGTTCCGCCAATCAGATGGTGGATCTCTTGGTAAGGCGGGCCTGCGAGCGCCGAACAGACGAGTAAGGAAGGAGGCGGATGAGCTGGAGGAGGAGGAGGAGGAATGGGAGAGGTAGATGTGTAGGTAGGCCCGCAGGGCGAGGAAGAAGATGAGGTGTGCTGGGAAGAGATGAAGAAGGACGAGAAGCACTTGACCGCGTGTCTTGTAGCAATCTTTGTCTGATAATGTGTCGCAGCAGCCAGTTGTTCGAGATGAGAGTCAGGTG